GTATTTTCTTTCAGAAAATGCAATGTATGTAGGAAATATTGCCGCTCTGTAAAGAAACAACCCCTTTGAATCTCTCGTGTAGTTGTGCTTTTATAAGGAGCAGCGTTGAAGAAAGGTTAAACGAAGATGTCGTTCAAAGTAAAGAGTATCGATAGACCGGCTCGAAATAACTAGATCTGACCTATATTCTGAAATACGCATTGACAAAAAAAAACAACTATATATCGTACGGAGGAATATACGCGACAATTCCAACGCATTTATCTCTCGCAAAAAACTGTATGTCGGCCTTTCTCTATACAAAAGCAATACAGTGAGTCGTATGAAAACTGATCAAACGTGGAGCAGCATCACCAACACGAAAGCTAACATTCGAACGTGCCACATCGGAGAACAATTGACACTTGACCCACAAAACAATTTTTCAGTCAATAACGGTACCGGCACCGTGTACTCTCATCTATCCGCAATACAGGTACGAGGTACGATTAAATTACACATCACCTAGTTATAAACTCGCATACACAACCCTCTTCATATTGTCGGACGAACTATCAATTTGAGTTTTGCAAACATATATGACATTGAATTGGACAGTCAAATTATTAGAAAAAACAGAGAGCTAGCTGCTTTCTATTTATATCAAGAATCAACTTTGCAGTTTCCAATTGTTATACATTTGTCGAAGGTAAAAAAAAGTCGCGTGTTTTCTTCGATACAGAATATATACGAGATCCAAGTCTCCTTATTACATATAAATACATATCGAGATACGATATACGATGATTTATTTTCATAGCCAAGTCGATGCGAAATCTGCTATATCCGGGCATATTACATATATATATATGTATATGATAATATATCATCTCGAACTTTAATCCGGTTTAATACCATGGACAATTTCAATCGGGTTACGTATAAGTCGGTCGCAGGTAACTCGTGAGGATAAATCAAATGGCCGATCGGCATGCCACCTGATTCGCGGTTGAGCAAAAAGGCCGCAACGAATTTGCGTGAGATATAGCGTGCAAAAAAAAAAGTGAGAGATACTTATACCGGCCACGCTGCGTGACGCAACGAAATGTTGTGAGAAAGCGACGATATACTAACACAGACATATACGCACCTCTAGTGCCGCGTAAAGGCAAACACGTGGTCGATTCTATCGAGTCTATCGGCGATAGAAAGGCACTTGCGGAAGCGACAAGACACGCGTTCTCCCCTCAAATTATATTGTAACTTTGCGAACTGTAAGATGTAGGACGCGCAACATTTATTGCACAGCTGACGAGAATATCTCGTCTTGCAACTAATCGATCGTTGTCTGTCACATGGCGCACAAATGATTTCATTAACGTAAAGCACGGAAAAAAAAAATTAGATATTAGTTTTCATGTCCAAATAGCTATGATAGCTTAGCATTCTTCCTTAAAAATATAGCTAAAAATATCAATTACCATGGTTAAAATTTAAGCATGATAAATGAATCTCAGGTTGTAATATATAGACCACTAAAATTTAATTATATGATAGCTATTTGTTTCCGTGGGATTAAAAGTAAAAATGTAACACTTGAGAATGTTAATAAGCTCATTTCGTTGTCAAATACAAATGTCAATTTTAACGAAAAGAGACAGACACGGATAAAAAATGAAGTTTTCATTGAAACTAGTTAGTTATGTCATATTATTTTTTGTTTCATTACAAAATATGCGAAATACTGTAAAAATCTCGAATTGAATGTTAATTGCTTAATATCGAACCAAGAATTTGTACCTCTCGCGGAAATGTTTTTTGGTCCGACACCAAGCAATTAAATTAAATCTCGATTCGAGATTTATTTTAATAATTTATTTTAATTTAATTAATTTTTTATATTTTAATAAATCTTCCTAAAGAGAGAGTGTAGGCGGGAAAAGATTGAAAAAGAAATATGGTATAAGACACAGTACTTTACATACTTTTAACGAAAAGAAACATGGCAAAAATATGCTAAATTATTTTCCACGCAGCGAACGCAACGTAAAACCGAGTTACTCGTCAAAAGACGTTGAAGGCGGAATGAAAGAATAAACAGAGCCCGGGCGTGACCCGCCCGTTGTGTATCGTAAACGCAAATATTTCTCTCTGCTGCGCGACCTTATTTACACTTTTCTAAGGTTGCAAAGGAAATTCGTGATCTGCGAAATCGGACGTTCGCGTATACGTTTCCCAAACGACTCGACCGTTAGATAAGATACGATGTACAGGTAATCGAGTGTATGTGCTGTATTTTTTTTTCTCCCTCAATCTTCAACCCCCGAGAAAACAGCCCTGTAAATTCCAACAGTTTCCAACAGTCGTTCTCCAGGTAAAACCAACAACGCGACGCCGAAACGGCGTATACGGTCTACCGAGGACGGGAAAGAAAAAGGTCAGCTTCACATTGTGAGCGAAATTCAATTCCCTACCGACGCGACGGCTGTGCGCGAACAAAGGAGAGGCCTGCCTTTCGAGTCAGGGAAGCAGAGGGACGCGTTCGTCGGCTTCGGGTCCGGAAAAGCCGGTATTCTCTCCGCAACGTTTTAGAGCGTCTACCTGCGCGCGTTAAAGAGAGAAAGAGAGAGGACACACACATATATACGGAATATTGTATACAAAAATAACACGCGCAGCTCGAACAAAAGCTATACTCATTCCATGTCTGCGCTACCTTCGCTCAAATAAATGTTCGAACGAGTGCGGTTTTACGTTATTTTTTTTAAATATAACGATAACAGGGAGAAAGAGAGACACGGCGTTCGAAATTGCGGAAACTTTCGTTGGAAATATATATGCGTGTTGGAAGTGAAAGTGGAATATTAACCTCGTTTATTTTTCATTTTGTGTAGGTTTAAACTATACATTATTTCTCTCAAAATTTGAATCGTGTTCTATAATATCAAATTTTCCTTTGAATAATAATTTACAAAGTTATTGTTATTATAAATCGTTCTATTTGTATAATGTACTATAGAAATTATTAAGTGCTCATTTAATTTTTGTTGTTATATATTTTAATTTTTTTATCTAAGGTCCGATTGCACCAACATTATTTTGGCTTTAACCGAGACTTAAAAATTTGTTATATATCTATCTTTATTTTTTTTCTAAATAAATGAAGACAAACGTTATTTAAGTCTCTCTTAAAGCCTAAATGACGATGCAATCAGGCCTTAGAAAAATAAAATTATGCTTATCAGTTATTTTCTATATTATATTATTGCCGATAAATCATCAAACTATTTTTAACACGGAATTAATTCATATTAATTAGTATACGTAAGTAATTCTTTTAAAAATATAGTAATAAATTTCCATTTTTATCTGTTTATAAAACAATATTCCATTCTTTAAAACTTCACACGTTTTTACAAGACTGAATAGTCTTTAAAATTCTGAATGAAGACTAATTACAATTTTAAAGTGACTGCAATCTTCTTCCACGCTAAAAGACATATTTTCAACAAAATAATAATTTCACATCATCTGTCAAATAAAATAAATTTCTATCCATATATTTTGCAACTGTCATTAATTGTCATTCTCGTCGAAAAATATTTAAGTATCATGAATTTAGATGCCTGCAAAAGTTCGTATGGTTACAAATATATGACGCGTCATTGGTAATTATTTTCTTTTTAATTGCTCTCTTGTTTTTGAAAATTGATGACTGATAAATCACAATTCCAAATATAACTTCACATTTAACACGAATAAAAATAAAACCCGATAAAGTTCATCAGTCTTTTCGTTGTTGCAGCGTCTTCGCCTCGATTAAAAATGATAAAGCACGCAGTGTCGAAGATGAACTTTATCCGGTTGCATTTTCTCAATCGCGCTAAATGATTTATCAGCCATCAATTCCACTCGAACATATGATCAACATGTAAAGAAACTTGAAAGAAAATAACCGCAACATATATATTTGCAATCTTACCAAGTTTCGCAAGCGCCTAATAATTTTTTCTTCCCTTCGATAATAATCTGACCCCGATAATAATCGCACAGCATTATTTACTCGATTATCGCATGTGCGATCGGCAGCAAGAGATACTCGGCTATTTAACTTTCACTGACTAACGCGACGCGCAGCATCCAACGACATCGCGTCTTTCTCGTCGAAGAGAGAGATAGAGAATCTCTCCTCGGTTTCACGTTCATTTTCGCTAATATACACGAGCCATGCGCCGTCGAACGATCAAGGCGTCCCTTCGACAGCGTTTCCCTCTGAAAACGAGAGAAATAACGCCGTCTCGCTCTTTCCCACGCTCTCCCTTTCTCTTTTTCTCTCTCTCTCTCTCTTTCGCCTCGTTTACAGCACCGAGGCGAACATAACCTACAACATTGTAATTTCGGAGGAACAAAGATTCACGCTCAGAGAGAGAGAGACAACGGATGGGAGTCAGCCACTCTCTCAAGGACAGACATCGTCGGACCACTTTCGAGGTTCGCGTGATTTTGCGTCTGGCGCGACGAAGATACGGCGAGAATCTAAGGGGAAGGGATGTATAAAACGAAAGTAAAAAAAAAAAAAAAAGGACGCGGAGGCCCCGGATCGATGAAAGCCGATTCGGGAAGAGTCACATGTTCGTTCAAGCTACGTTGAAATAAATAGCCGAAGAATGTATAGCGCTGTAGCGCCTCGTGACGCGAAAACGAGAGGAGATTGAAACGAATTTCGGTTATTTCGGAGCCACTCTCGCGAGAGCGTTTCGGAAGGAACGGTAAAGGGCATCACTCTTCCCGCCACTCTTGCGTATCCGATTGTTCGAAGCGTGGTCCGTCGACCCGGCGCCTCCTATCGAACCGACGAGAGCTTTTCCTCGTTCCGCGGACGAGACAGGGGCGTAAGAATCGAGGGTGTAATGCAACAAACGCTTTTATTTTCTCTCTCTCTTCCGCCTATTGCATCATATATATATATATATATGTGTACGAGGGCTACGTTAATCGGTTGTAAAATGAAGAACACTTACAGGGTAGTACATCCCTTGCGGAGGAAGGAAAAACGCCCCAGAGCCCCACAGTTTGAGGCCGTTTTGCTCCACCGTTGTGCAAGAAAACAAATCCGTCACTTCGTACCGCCGTCTCTCCCACCTCCGCCTCCACCGCCGTCTCTCTTCTACGCCGCCTGCTTGTGTGGCTGTTCTTCCTCTCGACAGGCACTCCTATCTATCTATCTATCTCTCTCCTCTCCGTTTAGGCACACTACTATGACGCGTTGTCCGTCGAAACACTAAACCGCCTCCCTGGATTCCCGCACTCACCCGAGAAACGAGGTAGAATATACACACGCGATACACAAACGCACGCGCGGAATGGACCCACGCACAGTATTACAAGCGGCGCACGGAACCTCGATTTCGGAGCTTCGGCTTTGAACTCGCCGCAGAGTCGAAAACGAGACGGCGTAGTGTCTGACGGTACGCCCTTTTGCACCCTCCTGCTTCACCCTCTTTTTCTTTCTCTCTCCGTTCGCGCGATGCTGCCCGTCCGCGGTATTAGCCTTCCCTCGCGATCGCTCCGCGTTTTTCTCTCTGTCTGTCGACTCCTGCGACTCTCTCGTATTCTTCACGACCGTCACCGTACGTGGTCCCGATGTGACTAACAACGATCCCGCTAACAACCGGCGCCATTGACCACTAGCGACGCCACCAGGCATGCCGCTGTCAGCGCCGCCCCGCGGTCGCCCACGCGTACTAGAGACTCGGGCTCGATCAGAGCGCGCATGCATGTCTTTGTGCGTGTGTGTATACATGCGCGCGCGGTTAATCAAAGTTCGTGAGACTGTGCGACGCGATTGACTCGGGATTTACACTTGACGTTTCGGCAAACACGTCCTCGCATTTATACATGCGCCCGTATACCAACGTCTTTATTCACTAAGATGCGGATAAAAGGATCCTTTCACTATTCGAGATCGTATATTGAATATATTTTTAATTTTTCATATACTGAACAAAAATAGCCAAGTATTATTTTGATAATTGAACGTATGGAATATTTAAATTAAATGGAACAATATTGAATTAAATTAAGAAAATAGTTATTTAGTTGAACGATATAAGAAATTAATCATGAGTGTAAAATATATTTTTTCCTCCCTCTCTTCGATAAAAAAATGTGTTACACAGTTGAAAAATTTGTGTTAATAAATTTAATAAATATCGCATGTCCCAAATGCTCCACAGAAATTTTTGTGTTAATTTAACATAATACGGATATGTTAAATGATAACACGAATGCTGTGTTAATATTTTAGTATAAAATAAATGCGAACATCAAGTAAACTATTTTGTGTAAAATTAACATACTTTTAACGTAGAAATTAACTAAAAAAATATAATATTACATTTTATTATCCCTACCTATATTATAAAAAAATCTTGTGATTAATAATACGAAACATATTCATTATGCAAACTTAGATATAGATGCACATTGTGTTATTTTTACACTTTTTTCAATTGTTTTAATTGTTTCAATAATTTGAGTTCAATTAACACAACAGCAATATGTTAAATTAACAAATGAATGTGTGAAATATTTAACATGAAAATTTCAACTTGAAGTTTTTAACAAAAGAACAAAAATTTTCCAACTGCGTACAGCTCCCTTTCCTGCTTCGTTATACATTTACATATTTTATTAACTTTGCTTATATTTCTCTGCAGCAGAGAGTAAGAATAATTTAAATTTTTTTCATTGCGCGAAATCAATCTAAAGTGGTTTGAGAAAGAGATGTTCGTCGAAAAATATAAAAAGAAATAATCGGATCCTCCCTTACTTTCAGAATTTTCCCGAGGAGAAACAATTACACAGAATTGCGAAATTCGTTCACCAGTCGTTACTCGTACTTCGCGCTTGCTCATTATTGTTTTTTTTTTTTACAGCCGTTTGTATAAACGAATTTTTCCCTTCGTTTTTTCGTAAAAACTCCATGTCCCTCTTCGCTCAATCGCAATCTTAATCAACGTGTTCCGGAACATTTCGACGTGAGAAATACTGCGACTAAGTAATTCCGTATTTCGTACGCGTATTCCTTTTAACAAGATTCATCGTATAATCTCCGCGGATTATCTGTTTAATGGAATTCCAAAATTTTCTCCATCTCTCCTAGCGATTTAAACTTTGCAAAGAGATGTTTATCTCCGCTCCCGCAAAACTATCAAAGATAATTAATTACGTATCCAACGTATGTGTGTCTAGCTATTATGCGATATACTTTCCAGAAAATAATTTTGCTTTATGCATACATAAACTACTACTTGAGGATCCTTTATCTTCCGGTAAATTTTAGAAAATTACATGGAAGAACAAAAAAATATCAGCTATCGTAATTAAATGTTAGATATCTCTACATTAACGGAGAGAGAATTCTCCGTTAAATTAGAGCTTAAAAATATTAGTTACCGTAGCTAAAATTCAGACATGGTAAGACTCAAAATTTAGCTATGGTACATGGAGGGAATTTTCTCTTAAAATTTACCTTGAAAATCAAAATAATTGTGGGACAATATAATATTGGAAGTATCTTATAAGTTACTCTGATTAATATTTACCACAATAAAAAATATTAATATTTACATAGTAAAATTCACTATGTACATAATAAAATTAATCGAACATATTTTATATCTTATTTTATTGTGATAGATATTAATATTTTAATATATATCGTGGTAAATATTAATTAGAGAAACTCTTATAAAATTCTTTCAATATTATATTGTCTTAGATTGCCATGATTTTCAGGGTAAAATCTAAGAGAAAATTCTCTCTGTGTACATAGTTAAATTAATCGAAACTACATTTTACATCTTATTGTAATAGATATTAATTCTTATAAAATTCTTCCAATACGATACTGTCCCACGATTACCATAATTTTCAAGGTAAATTCTACGAGAAAATTCTCTCTCTATAGTTGCAATATTTTGCCCATAAGTACCCGATACATTTTTCTTTTATATATTGTATACATGATAAATCATATACTAAAAGCTTTAAAAATATAAATTATATATAAAAAAAAAACAGCAAAAATGAGGAAATATTCTATTTGTTCAAGAGCTATTAACTCTTTCGGTAGACTAGCGGTACGTGCTTCGGAGCTTCGGAGTGATAAGTTATCGATCGCGGTCTGTAATTATGACGGCGCTGACAAGCGCCGAGTTACATCGTCGTCTAGAGGCGGTAGACTATTATTTCAGTCTGCCTCTCGGCATCCGCTGCATTCGTCCGGTTCAATAAAGTCAACGAAAGTTCGCGCAAGTGGAATCGACTGACGGAGGAGAGAAGCAAAAGTTCCCTCTCTTCCGATGCGAGGAAGTTGCGGGACATACAACGCGAAATCCCTTTATATATATATATATATATCCCTTTGGAACGTGGCCAGACTGGATGGGATCTCGCCGCGCCAGGGAGAGACGAATAATGTTAAGGGCGCGATATCACGATGGTCCAGTCGCCGGCAATTACAATTTATAACCCTGCGGACGGGATGCCGGTGGGATTTTTCTCGTCGAAATGCGCGCATCCGTTGTTATCAACGCAAATCCGCGAAATCTCGTAATACTGACAAATAGACCGTCGGAAACTTTGTTTAAAGGAGGTCCCTCTTCGTGATAGTTTATCGCGACGAATCGATCGCGCGCTGCCTCGTTATAGTCTTCTATAACGTTAACATCTTTTTTAACACCGATAACAAGCGCGATGACGCAGGAGCGAGGCAAAATATAAACGATAAACCGCGAACGAGAACCGTCTGCGGTACACGCAAGAAGTAGGAAGTATATTTCGCCGCTTATGGATCGCCTCCGTGTATATATATATATATAGCGGATGCTATATATATACCCTACCGACAATCAACCTGCAGGGAAACGCAACCCCTCTTCGGATCACCATAGAAACCAAGAGATGGGACGAGAGGGTGCAAAAGCTATAGTGCTTAGAATAACGCGCCAGAACGCCCTCCAGATGAAAAGGGATTCTCCGTGTACCGTCGTCGACCGGCGTGATAGAGACGGTGGAAATATAGAGATATCCTCCATCCGCGGGATATATATTCACGGTGCATATATACCATCGATGACTATAAAGTATATCTCGAAGGAAGTATCAAATAAACGGAGGATTCACCGTAACGTCGAATGATGAGCCGGGTTCGCGCTTTTTCAGGAAATACATGCGATTCACGAGAGATCGATAAAAAAAGTTTACGAATGTTTACGAGAGGAAACAATTGCGGAAAACTTTGTGGATATTGACTGAACTCGTATATTCTCAAAGAGGACGGTTATAAATAGAAAATTACCTCTATCTTTTTCTTTGGCTCGGAATATAGAAAATTATTTTCAGATTTTTTTCCCTCGCTATTTCAATAAATCTCGTCAATTTTGTGTCTCGCATACATATATAGTTGAAAAATTTGTGTTTTTAACAGATATATCACATGTCTCAAATAACGGTTCATAGAAATATTTGTGTTAATTTAACATAAGATGGATATGTTAAATATTAGAGATACAAATACTGTGTGTTAATGTTTTAACACAAAATAAATGCAAACTTCAAATAATGTAAAATAAATTTTGTGCAAAATTAACATAGTTTTAATGTAAAATTTAATTTAAAAAATATATAAATTTTAGATTTTATCATCTCCACTTATATATTATAAAATACGAAAAATCAATATTTTTTTCTACATTGACAAAACTGTTTTAAATTTTGACAGATAAATCTTGTCACTAAAAAATAGAAACGCACAATGCGTTATCACATCTTTTTTCAGTCGCCGTAATAATTTAATTAACATTAAAGTTCCATTAACACAAGTGTTAAATATTTCGACGCGTTTAAATAAATAAGCAACCGAAATGTCTAGACTCTCGATCGTCAGTTTCAATCAATCGGGACCCTTTCTTCGGTGCATAGGCATGCACTTTTCGCGTACGGTTTCTCGAATAAGGAGCAGCGCACATGCATGCGATATCGAACCGGGCGTCGTAAAATCCATTTTTTCCCTCCCGCGAACTCGAATGCGATTTCAAGTGCACTCGGGGTGGCCTCGCGCGCGCATATTTTTAGAACCCTCTGCGCGTGAACGTGCGTTACAGCTGGAACGCACATGCGCGCACACCCGATGACGACGACGACGCCATTCAGAGGGTTCTGGTATGCCGGCACCTTCTCTCTCGCCGCGGTTTACACGGGCCTGACACTACAAATGTTTTATACCCGACCCGGTCCCGAGGGAGGAAAACGAAGGAGAGAGAGAGAGAGAGAAGGATAAATTTATCGGATCTCGAGGGAGGGAATGAAAGGGAGGCGAGAGAGCGACAAAGTATAAAGCGCGGGATGCAGGCTGCAATGCTTTATGGATATATGGACCGAGGAGTTCAACCCTCTCGCTCGTTAGATCTGAGGGAGAACGGCAAAACGCGACATTAGTCGCCGGAGATAATTATCTGGGCGATGATAATGCGATGTAGACGACGCGAACAATGTAGCTTCTGACGATTAACATGATAGAAATTATGCCGACGACATGAATCACGGTTTAATCTATAATCATTAAACGATACTACAATTATATAGGTGATCTAATGAATATTGAATTATAACGGGCCTCGTTATAGAATCT